GGATGACCCAAGATGGCCTCCAACACGGTCCCAGCATGCCTCCGAAGCGGTCAAGATGGGCTCAAGAGAGCCCAAGATTGCCCAAGATGGACCCAAGAAGGCCCGAAATGGCTTCAAGATTGCCGAAGACGCCGCCAAGATGCCCCAAGAGCCCCCCCGAGAGGTACGAGAGAACCCGTTTCACGGGCGCTTGCCTTGGGAACATTCGGCGGCGCGTTTCGAACCGGGGGACCCCCCCCAACACTCGGCGCCGTCGATCAAAAACAAGGGGACTCCCCTCCCCCCCAAACCCCCCCCCTCCCGAACCCCCCCCGTCCCCTCTCCCAGGGGGATGGGCTTCAAAACCTCCCCCCCACTAGCGCCGGTGCCGGCGCTGGCGGCCGCCAGCAGCGCCGACGGCGGGGGACGCAGCGACGATGACCAGGGGCAGCCCAGGGGTGGGGGCAGCCCAAGGGGGGGGGGTTTTCGAACACCCCTCCCCGCTCCCGGGCGCCGGGGAGAGGGGGGAGGGTTCAACCCCCCCCCCCCCGGGGCCGGCGCTGGCGCTGGCGCCGGCGCTGGCGCCGGCGACGGCGGAGACGCAGCGACGATTACCACAACTACCACCACCGCCACCACCACCACCACCACCACCGCCTCAACCCACCACCACCACCACCAACCCACCACGACCACCAACACCACCACAGCCACCACCACCACAACCACCACCAGAACTCACCGTCACCACAACCACCACCACAAAAACCCACCACAACTACCACCACTACCACAATCTACCACACCACCACCACCACCACCACCACCACCACCACCACCACCACCAGCACCACCACCACCACCACAACTACAACCACCACCACTACTAGCAGCACAACACACCGCCACCACCACAAACCACCACACCACCACCACCACCACCTACACCGCCACCACCACCACCACCAGCACCACGTCCACAAACCACCGCCACCACCACAACCCACCACCACCACCACAAACCACCACCACACACACCACACCCACAAACACCACCACTTCAACTCACCAGTCGCCCACCACCCCCCACCACAAAACCCACCACCACTACCAATCGATCACAATCTACGGGACACCACACCACCACCACCGCCACAACCACCACAAAACTAGCAAACACAACCCACCACCACCCCCACAACACCACCCACCACCTACCTCACCACAAACCGCACTAACACCACCAACTGGGACCACCTCCACAAACCGCCGCCACACACACCCCCACCACACACCACAAACCACCACACACCGCCATTCAAACTCACCACCACCACCTCCCACCACCACCACCACCACCACCACCACAAACCACCACCACAAACCACCACCAATCCACCACCACCGCCACCACCGCCCACCACCACAACCACCACCACCACCAACACAACAAACCACCACACCACCACCACCACCACCACAACCACCACAACCGCCACCACCACCACCTCAACCTACCACCACCACCACCACCACCACCGTCGTCCTCGTCGACGCTCCCCGCCGCCGCAAACCACCACACCACCACCACCACAACCACCACCACCACCACCGCCACCACCACCACCACAACCCACCACCACCACCACCACCGTCGTCCTCGTCGACGCTTCCCTCCGCCGCCGCCCGCCGCCGCAGGCGCCGGCGCCGGCCCAGAAAAGGAACTCGTCGTCCCCGCCGCCGCCGCCAGCCGCCGCCGACTCAAGCGCCGGCCCGAGGAGAGGAGGGGAAGCAGGGGAAAAAGGAAAGAAGGGTGGGGGGGGGTCTGGTTTCAACCCCCCACCTCCAAGCGACCACAGAACGCGCTCTTTCAGAGGTGTGAATCAATGATCCCCCAAAAAGGTTTTTGAAGGATTTGGGCATTTGCGTCAAAACGGCCTTCCGACCTGCTCAAGACGACCCAAGAGGCCCCCAAAATTGCCCTAAGATCGCCCAAGATACCTCCAAGATGGCCCCAGGACGGCCCAAGAGGCTCCTAAGACGGCCCCCAACGGGCCCCAAGACGGCCCAAGAGGCCTCCAAGCCGCCCAAGATGGCCTTCAAGACGACCCTGAAGCGCCCCTAGAGGGCCCCAAGACGGCCCAGAGAGGCTCCCAAGACGGCTTCCGACGGCGTCAGCCGGGCCAGGAACGCCGCAAGGCCGCCAAAGATGCCCCCAAGAAGCCCCCAAAGGCACCCAAGAGGCCCAAGGAGGCCCCCAAGAGGCCTCCAAGAGGTGCCCAGGAAGCTCCCAGGAGGCCCCAATAATGACCCCAGACGCTCCCAAGAGGCTTTTTTGCTCGAGACATCATACCCACCACACTCCATGAGCAAAGCGGGCGCTCGTGGTTGAACCACGCGAGAAGAAAAGCCAATCACATATGGGCTGGCTCAAAACAGGGCCTCGCCGCTGAGGAGGTCCCCCCAGTCAGAAACGAGATCACCAGGAATCCAGGCCCGTGAAATGCGGCCCTGGGGGCCGCGGGGTCTGGGCAGCTGTCCCTTGAGCAGCATTTGTACATGTCTCGGCTTGGGGTTGGTGCATCCGCCCACCAGGTCTTTTGCTTGGCGGCCAGTGGTGTAAGACCCACAGCGACGGCAGAAGACACAACCTTGGCCAGACTGAAACACACGCGCAATCCTGAGATCGTGAGCGGGCGAGGGAGGGACAGGAGGGGCAACAAGAGCACGGATGGTGGTGGGGATAGGCCCGCATTCAGACAGGTCCGCTCGACGGCCATTCTTGAAAGAACGGAAACATTTCACACATTGCCACCTGTTGTTCACCCACCGTACATCGTGGGCTAACAGGCAGCCTTTGATGGGTCGGAAAACTTTGATTCTACTCAGATCACCGAACAGATCACGAGCCTTGGGCCACGCTTGAAGCACAGTTATCATGGCACACGCCACCGCCAAGAAACCTTCGCGCGCTTCAGCGACCTTGGCAACATCTACGGCCGAGGAAAAAAAGCCCCCGCACTCTCTTTGGCAAAAACATCCGCCCAGGTGTTCTCACGGGTTTTCCAGGCGGCTTGATTCGTATCGTCCTCACTCAGATGGGCTTTCACCTTATGGGTCGACCAGCTTTTTGCCCCCGCGATCTTTATGCGCCTCCAATGGCCCGCCTGGGCCGTCTTCTTCTGGGCGCCGCGGGTCACGTCCTGGGCCCCCCAAACCACAGCGGCGCAATCCAGGTAAAAATGCTGGTCCTCTGAGCCGGCCTCTATATGCTCCACCATATCCATCAGGGCATGGTGTTCCGTGAGGACGGCGGTCTGCGGCGGGCTGCTGGGGATACCCCCTCGCATTCCTCTTACCAAATTGCCCTCCGCATCCGTCTCGATGGCAGACCAGCCTCCTCTGGAGAGCACCTCGCACTTGGGCTCCACCACCGACCCATCGCCGAAGACGATGGCCCCACTCTGAAACATGAACGGGTCGATCCGCCCATCAGCGTTGAAATAGAGCACCTGGTCCTCGGTCGGCCCTGGCACTTCTAACTCTGGTGTCGGTAACCATAATGAGAAATAAAACGGGCCCTCCTCGCCTGCACTCACAGCGGCCTCAACTATCGTGGGGTCAAGGCCCGCTCTCAGAGATTCGCCGTGGGGGCAGCGCCATGCTCGGTGCCGCGCCGTGTCCAAGGCGGGGCAGAAACTGCACTTGGGCGAGATGGCAAACCCCCATCGGTGCAGCGAAGAGGCCGTCGTATAAGCTCTACAAAAAAAGATTCCTGGCGATGCCTTTCCCCTGGGCGTTCAGATCCTTCGATTTCAGCAACAACTGAATGGGCTCGGTCCAGAGGCCCCTCTCCTTGATGTCCTGGGCCCTGGGGTGGTTTTCCCGAGCCGGTAAACGCAGCGTAGTATCGTCCAGGAGCTTCTTCTTCAAACCCCGAATGAAGATCTTCTGCGCTAGCGTGGGCGGGGAGTCGGTGAGCCGAACCTCAGCACCATCCCGCGATGTAAAAGAGGCTGGCCCTGTAAACGCCCACCCCGCTTCGACTCCCCACAAGAGCGCATCAAGGATGGGGTGTGTGCCTCTACGCCTCCATCCCTGCGACACTTGCATGGCCGCCAGTCTCTGCAGGCAGCCGTGGCAGGCCTTCGACAACTGACCTGCCGACAGGCCATCGGCCGCGCGAATGTCATCATCTCCCGCCTCCCACCATTCGCGCGCATACCGCGCCACCGTGTCACCAGCGTGCAAGATGGGATCCTTGGAGGGGGAGGTGGCCCAGATCAGGTCGATGGAGGCTCCAGGGCTCCAGATGCCTAGCGACTTGGCCCCCAATACTCGCAACCTGTGCACATCCTTGGCCGACAAGGCAACCACGTCGCTGCCGTGCGTGATGCTCGGCTTCTGGCCCATGAAAAAAAAAACAACTTGGCTTTGGCTCCAGCTTTACCACGCATCCCCTTGATTTTTGGCATCCTCCTGAGGGCCTTGGCCCATCGGGCCCTACGTTTCGACAAGCGGCCAGGGGTCCCAGACGGCTGAGACCTGGTAGCACGCTTCTTCCTGAGGGCGCCCACCGAGAAGTCCACCCCCAGGTTCACAACTTCCCCCGCCAGAGTGAAACCGTACATGCCCAGGGCTTGTGGAGCCAAATCCATTACCTCCTGATTGTTGGTCGTGAAGCACCCTTTCTTC